TCTTTGGGGGGGCGATGAGAGGAGAGGTGTCTTTTGGAGGGGTAGTGGGGGGGGCAGATGGGAGGGTAGTGAGACGCTTCGCGGGGGAAGATGGGGGAGGGGCGGAGGAACCCTTTAAGGGGAAAGGAAGTGACGTATGCGGCTTCCCACCCTTAGCGCGCGACTCACCCGCCGCCTGGATGATTCCGGCCGCCGCGCGGGAGTTCCCTCCGCGGAAGTGACGTCTTCACGCGCCTGCGCGGAGGAGACGCCCGGGACAAAGTTGCCGCTGCCGCGTCACATGGTTCCCGGCGCGTCACGTGGTGCGCCGTCAGGGGACGCGACCAAGGGCAGCGCGCGGCAGTGGCAGGGCGTTCTGCCTTTGCCCATCTCGACACGAGAACACCTCGAGGTGCAGTGCTGGGCAGTCATGACCACGAACGTGAAATGTGGGGTGTGATGGGTACAGGAGTCCGGTGGGTTTTAAAATGTGGCCGTGGCGTGCGTTCGCCTTCCTGGTCCGACGCGTGCTCTGGCGATCGGTGTCATTCACGTCCTGGCGTGGTGCGATGAAGCCCCCTGGGCCAGAGTCGGTGACCCCGGTTAAAAGCTGCCAGCCCCGGGCTGCGCCCTGCACGTGGGGTTTATCCGCTGGGGGTTCAGGCCGGCTCCACGAAGCCACCGATGGAGCCAGGTTGCAAAAAGGGGCAGGGGGTGTCTGGCGCCTGGGCTGGACCGGGGCTGTTCCCAGTGGGGGCATGTGATGGGACAAGGAGCAATGGGCTCAAGCTGCAGCAAGGAAAGTTGAGGTTGGATATTAGGAAAACTCTCACGAGGAGGGTAGTAAAACACTGGGACGGGTGGTGCAATCTCCATCCTGAAGACCTGGCTAGACAAAGCCTCAGCTGGGATGATGCAGTTGGGGCTGGTCCTGCTTGGAACAGGGCTTGCACTAGACATGGCCCCCTGGGGTCCCTTCCAGCCCCCATGGTCTGTGCTTCTGTGGTTAATGAAGTGCTGGGGGGGAAACAAACTTCCTGTTGTTTTAAGCTCATTTCATGTACCTAGTTCTTGTATTACGAGTCACTCATAAATCTCATTGACTTCCTCTTCACCCTTGAAACCCTCCTCGTGTCTGGGGGAGGGTTAACGCGTGAGCCCGTGCCAATCGGGGCG